CAGTGAAGAAAATCACACTGATAAGAGCAATTCATCTTTCTACTTCAGTATGAGGTATCTCCTAGAACTACTATATTGCTCTTCACCAATTACAAAGGGAATCTAGACAAGCAGGTAGGTACAGATGCTTATATTAAGATGGCTGGTCCCACCCTGAGTGCCTGGAGTCACAGGTGTTGTGGGTTTCTTGTGTTTTAGAGGTTCTTGTGGAAACCTGAAATTTCCTCTGAGGGGATAAAGTTAGGTGTGGGTTTCTCTAACTCAGCACTTCCATGCTCCCCTTTGCTTGTGTTGCTGGACCTTAAGTACAGCAGAGTCTAAATGAATCTTGATTAAACTTTAGACATGCAATTATTTGAGGTGAAATACCAAAGCATTGGCAGTTTGGTGAGTATTTGAAAAATGGGGAAATTTGTTTATACACACACGTGTCTGTGTGTTGGTATATATGTACATATTCATATGTATGTATATCTGTGTACGTGCTTATACATATGTATATATTCTTACTCCTGTGTGTAGGCATATACATATATACACACATGAGATGATACTTTCTGTGGGTGTAGGCTGGAAACACCACTTTCAGTTCCACTTTCCTGTTATAATGGTATCTCTAGGGTTAGTCCAAAGTCTGCTACAAAAGGATTTTTCTGTTCACTCTCTTGGAGAATAGCTCATGGGCTAATCAAGGCTGAACTCCAGGTAAGTGATGAGTGAAACATCTGACAGCAAACACTGAGCACTGATAAAACAGATTAGGAGACTGCGTGCCTAGAGGTAAGGAGAGAAATATGTCTTGCCGGTCATTTCAAGGAGAGGGTCAGAGAGAGAGGTAGGAGAAGCCTTGGCTTTCACACAGTATGTTCTTACCATAGACCCAGACTTTTATGGGTTGGCACATTTAAAAGGACTGATAGTGTTACTGCTCTTATGCTAATCAGATCCCCTAGGTGGGAATTCCCCTGCTTACACTGCCAAGGCTGAGAGGTGAAGTCAGAAGGAAACAGCAGCGTGAGAGGAAGCTGGGTAAAGAGCGATCAGCAAGAGAGAGATGAAACACGACCTAGGTTAACCAGCATGCAGGCACCGGAGCTGGAGCTGACATCCCCGGGAATCTTTTCTGCACAGAGGTGAGTTTGCAGGCGGGTGGAGGCTGGAGATGCAGGGAAGGAGAGTGGAGCTGCAACGCCAGAGCAAGAAGCAAGGAGGGAGCACTGGGAAGAGGCTATCTAATCTGTGCCACAGAGTCCTCCTCCTCTGCATGGGGGATTCAGGGTGCTTGGGGCTGCTGGGCAGGGGCCAACTCCTGCAGGAGTGCAGGGCAGGGAGGAATTTCTGGCTGCCAGCAGAAATGGAGCAGGCAGGTGCAATCACAGGCAGCTGGCAGGACTGCATGGCAGGCAGGCAGTGAAAGAAAGGCTCGCCGGGAGAGCTGGGACATGCTGATGGGAGCAATGTCCTTCAGGAGAGGGGAGAAAGGAAAGCGGCAAATGAAAAAAAGACAAGTTGGTCAGACTGTGCCATTTCTGCTCAGTTTCCTTGTGGGAGGGTGCCTTGTACGTGCTTTGTCCTGTTTGTATGTTGTCCCACTTGTGTGCCAATACCACCTGCCCAGGGAAGGTTGGGCATGAAGATGGGCTGCGTTTGTCTTGGGAATTCAACCAGGAAAGAGCTCATTGAGCAATGGTCTCAGGGAAGCGGGATCAGCTGTCTCCTCATCTGACTCTGCCCTGTTGCACATCCTCTGTGTTGGAAACAAGAAGACGCATGCCTATATATGTGTGCGTGTGTGTGTATACACATACATACTATTAAGGCAATGCTGGTGGGTGACAGCTAGGACATATGTAACTCACACACAACCAAGTGGAAAGCAGCAGCTTTCCCCAGTCTGCTTGCGGATCGACCCTTCACCAACCAGCGACCCTCCTGCTGCAGACTCCGTAGCACTGCTCAAATTTACCAGCCCTCATTTAGCTTGATAGCGTTCCCCAAGCTAGAATCAGTTTGCACACTGTGGGCACTCTTTATTTTAGCAGTTACATTAGCCTTTAGCATTTGTTAGCATTTGTAGAACCTCATTCTGTTGGCACTCACGGTTTTGTTTAAGAATATGCATGTATTTCCTCAAATACTTCTACTCGCCTGGGCCAGGCAAGAAAATACTGAGCATGTCTGATGGCTCTGACCCTTTGTCCCTAACCAAGAAACACTTTGAATATCTAGTTCATCACAGTGCCTTATGGTGTAAGGGCATCTATGCAAATTTCCTTATTTTTACCTGCATTTCAATTTCTATATGGCTTTTTTTTCTTCCCAGCACAACAGGGAAAAGTGATTCCTTGGTAGGGCAACGATATTGTGGACTGGGGCTATATTTCTGAGTGGGTGCAGAGAGGCCTGAAACGACCCTGTAAGTCAGGGTCTTAAGCTGAATTATTAGACAGGAATGGGAAGGGGAAGAGAATGGCTGAAAATGAATGAGGGTGGGAATGGAATTTCCCTGAGTGTCTGCTTACATTAGAGATGAGCAAAAAAACCTGGAAAAGATGCTCAGGGAAGTGACAATAAGGAAAAGCATCCTCTACCACCACATGGGGTTCAGTCCTGCAGTCCCTGGTTGGTTTCAGGCTGGTAAGGTGGAGAGCCATTAGGCTCAGCCAGTATTTCCCGTGCAGAATCTGCCCAGTTCCCTTCTGTGCTGCCAATTTTCCATCTGTAAATAGCCTACTTATAGATAGATTTTGATTGGCCAGGTTGCCTGGTTGTTTCTTTTTCTAACAGCAAGCATTTTGATGGCAACTTTAAAAATACCACTTAAATTTGTTGCTTGTGAAATTTCTCTTACTCATAGCTTTACTCCTATGGCCTACAGCACTGTGTTATCCAGCCAGACTTGCAAGACCAAAAAAGCCCCATAAAAAAGCCTCAGCTGGACAGCAGGTGAGTGTAACTACAGATCGCAATTCTTTGGGTGGGATTCACATGGACAAATATCTAGGTATCTAAACTGTGATGCTCCATTTTAAGTAAATGTGTTTATTTCTCTTGGAGTTATCACATCTTAATGTAGGTGTCCAAAAGACATGATGTGAATTGCCCCTAAAAGTTGTTATTTCTCTCCATTGACATTGGAGGACATGGTGGCTGATGAGCTCAGCTGTGGGCATCTAAAGACAGGGGAGAGAACTGTGTCCTTCAAGACCCAAAGCTCTACATCAGAGAGAGACAGAGGTTAAAGGAAAATAACACAAGAGGTCAAAATGTTTATAGTCCTTCAGGTGGGAAGAGGTGGAATGATTGAAAAAATTATCCACAACTTTTCCTCTTCTCCCCATATGCCCAAAAAATCTCAGCTAATTCTGCCCCTTTTGAATAATTTTAAGCAACTTTGGCTAAAAATAATGCAACTAGAAGGTTAGGACTTGTCTGTAGGGACTTGTCTGCGTGGGTCAGCTATTGTAAAACAAATTAGAGTATGAATTCAAAGTACAGTAGATCTTCTGCACAGAGTCTCAGTGGGATGACTGAAGGAGAAAGTACTTCTCAGTGAGCCAATCTAACCCGATTAACCTGATACAGAGCCCACAGTGATCTTTGGGAACCTTTTCATTGGCCTCTTTGGGGTTGGTTCACTCTTTTCTCCCTCAGTAAGATACCTACTGAGGAAGGGGCGTTTGTGACACACTGGGGAAAGTTACACATTAAAAGTGATCTTTGATCCTTGTCAGGAAAGCATAAACAAAAAAAAAAGGTTATAATTCAATATGCAATAAGGGTTTTGAAGGGAAAACAGCCCTCTCAGGCTTCAAGAATTGTTCTTCCAACTCCTCAGAGGGACAGAAGAACTAAAGTCACCTTGTTGGGCGTAAGGACGGACTGGATATTGCAGCAAGCTCTGTGACACAAAAAGCCATGTCAAATCAGTACTATGAAAGGTACAACTGTGAGAGGAAAGAGAAGTGACACGGGATCCACAGCTGTGTGGCTTCTCTTGAATCATTTCAGTCGAGAGGATGAGGAACAGGCTGTGGCGCTGGAAAAAGCTGATCTAGCCCAGCCAGCTGATCTGATCTGCAGGAGGCTCCAAAAGCCCCTGGCTCTTCCTTGTGGCCGAGCCTGACCTTCTCTCTGCCACTGAGACCCAAAGCAGAAAAAGCTGCTGGTGGAGGAGAAGGATGTGGCAGTAAAAAGGAAGAGCTAAGAGTTGGTAGGTTACAATGGTCAGTTTTCACAGCCTAAGTTTCTTTAGCGAGTATCAGACTGATGGCAACATGATAACGATGGCCTACACAGACATCCAGGCAAATATTTATTTCCCTGCTCCTAGCACATTTACAATCAGAGTAGCCAAAGTCAGATAAAATGCGGAAAGGGACTGAAACATATGCAGCCGCCTTCTCCCTGTTGTCAGAATTGAGATTAGACGTATGCTTGAAATGAGTATTACAGGTGAACATCACTATCTCCCGCAAGACGCTGACTCTTCTTGATGTAACCAGGATTTGAAACACATACAGGAGACTCCCTGTAGTAAAAAATGTATATACAAAATAATATTCACAGATCCAGAAGAAAAAGACCTAAGCCGGGGCTGAGGGAGCATGTATGGGGACTGTTTCCTAAACGGGCAAAGGATCAGATTAGTAATAATGTTGTAATTATTCAGATGTTTAGCTGAATCTGCAAAAGATTTGTGCAGCTGTTAATTGATTTGATAGTCCTCATTCCGAAGTTAGAAACCACAGGGAAAAAAAGAGTAAATTGAATGTACGTAGTGTTTAACAAATGATTCTGGAATATTTGTGTACAATATGCCTTTTTTTGACTAATCTGTTTTATCTCTGAACAGTATTAAAACCAAATATATTTATAATGCCTTCAACAGGACAGAACAGCAAAGGTTATGTTTTAGATATATCCAAAATGTACCTTCTTCAAAACTAATTATTCATCTTATATTTGCTCTGACTGTATTTCATATTTTAGGCAAAACAATGACTACACACACCTGGCGAGTGTGGGCCATCTACATGGTCTTAGCTGCAAACCTCTCTGAAGAGCAAGCGCTGAAGCAGGCTTGTCCTTCATGCGATGCCACTCAGCTTTGCAACTGCTCTTCCATGGGCTTGGACTTCATTCCCTCCGGGCTCACAGGCAAAATCACGGTGTTAAACCTGGCCCACAACAAGATAAAGCACATCGGATCCCAGGACCTGCAGCAGGCTGTGAACCTGAGAGCCTTGCTGCTGCAGTCCAACGAAATCAGCTCAATAGACAAGGACTCATTTAGCTCCCTTGGGAAACTGGAGCTCTTGGACTTATCAAATAACAGCTTGGCTCACTTGTCCCCTGCGTGGTTTGGGCACCTTTTTTCGCTCCAGCACCTCCACCTTCAAGGGAACTTCTACAGAGACCTGGGGGAAAGCTCCCTCTTTTCTAACCTGAGGAACCTGAGCTCTCTCCACCTGGGCAACCTACGGTTCTCCACGATAAGGCAAGGGAACTTTGAGGGCATTGCGCTTCTCGACAAGTTGTGGATTGATGGTGGCAATCTCAGTCAGTACGAACCGGGAAGCTTGAAATCGATTAAGAAGATAAGTCATATGATCATAAACCTAAGAAGTATTAATGTATTCTCAGCAATTGTGAGGGACCTTCTGCACTCTGTCACTTGGTTAGAAGTGAGAAAAATAGCATTCAGTATACCTGCCGAAATGCAAGTATTGAGAGTCATGTCTTCTTCTTTTGCAAAGAAAATTTCTTTTAAACAGACCTTATTAACAGATGCTACTGTGCCTGAGATTGTCAGCATTTTAGAAGACATGCCAAAATTAGTGGAGGTGGAGATGATAGACTGTAGGCTCTTGGGAACGGGACGATGGGAAATGCAAATTCAAGCAAACCAATCACAGACTGTTAGAGTTCTGACAATAAAGAAATTATCTATAGAAAAATTTTATTTGTTTACAGATCTTCAGTCTGTGGAAGGTCTACTATCTCTTCTTACCAAAGTCACAGTTGAAAACACCAAGGTCTTTTTGGTACCATGCGGCATTTCACAACGTCTTCTGTCATTAGAGTATCTTGACCTTAGTGCGAATTTGCTTGGAGACCAGAGTTTGGAGCATTCGGCCTGTCAGGGTGGTTGGCCCTCACTACAAACTCTAAATTTAAGTCAGAATTCACTGAGTGACTTAGAAATGACAGGTAAAAGTTTGTCTCATCTAAGAAACCTAAGACTCTTAGACATTAGCCAAAATAATTTTGGTGAGAT